CATAAAAAGACATTGGAAGTAAGCTTATTACACTTTCCATTACTTTAACTTTCACTAGCCAAGTAATAGAAAGACTCTTAGTCATTGAAAAACCTCAACTAATTAATAGTAATTTTATTACAAATACAAGAAAATAGATATGTATATGTGATTTTGATATGTAAGCTATATGATAGAGTACTATTGTTCACGTTCTTGCTCCATTTGTCCTTGTTCTTGATAATCATCTTCCATTTCACCGATAAAATCGTCAAGTTCTAATGATGTATCTCTAAGAATATCACTTTGAAATGTAGACGAAGCAGTTACTGTTAATTTTTGTATTGTACCACTTAAGTAACTATCTTCTACAATATATCTTTTCATAATTGAATGACAATGATTGATTATTTTATTGCAAAGTTCTGCAGTTACACCAGCATGTTTGTCAGCGTCATCGTATAAACCATGTAATGTATCTTCCCGCAATTTTTGTGTCGAGCGACCAAGTTTGAATTTATCGACTAGATAGTGTTTGACATAAGCCCATATCAATTCAATTGGTTGTAAATGTGGCATATCTAACCATATGAAAATTCCAAAATTTATCCTTTTATGAAAACTAAAGTTTTTTTTGAGAAGGATGCTTTAATAGGATAAGCTCTAATTTTCGTTCCATTACAACTTGATTATTTTCTTTTTCAATCTTTTATAACAAAAATAAGGAATTAATTGATTTCATACGGTAGAATAGTAGTATATGACATACTGTTTCTATTGGTTAAACATTCATCTATTTGCAATGAAACATGACTAAATAAAAATCAAATCAATATGATGGCTGACAATTTTTATTTATTTGATTTTATTTCTTTTCTTCTCATTGTTAATGAAACGATGTCAATAGTATAAGCTCTAGTGGAGCTATACTACATAATCCTACATCAATCATGTATAGATACAATACCTGTCAAATGAGGGATGAATAACAACATATATAAAATTTTTCCAAAAATAATCAAAATTTAAGTTCTACTTTTAATTGATATGACTATAGTTATTATACATTATACATACGAAGAACGATTTAGGACAATCAAAAAAAAGGTATGTATCGAATGTTTCATGAAGCTTTCCAAGGCTATGGTGTAGAACATCTGGGACTAATTGTTGGTGATAAAAACAATGCAAATTCGGAACGGGAATTAATACGTAAAAGACCACGTATGAAGTACCTTGCATTAAGGCAACAACAGAGTAAGATTTTATATTTGAGAACATTTATCTTTCCGCATGTATTTTACTTATCGTTTTCGCACTATATACATTTGCCGCTTTTCATAGAATAAGCAACAAATGCTAGACAATCAGCATAATCACTACCACCAATCCACGAATAATTATCGACAATGACGGTGATCACCAAAAATTGAATAATACACCGCACATATAACTCATTCCTTTTCTACTGTTAGCCATATTTGTTTTCTAGTTCTTCTTTCTCCCCTGTCTCCGCTTGCATTGCTTTCATCATCAACATAATATAAAGAGATAATTCAACTTCTTAAAACACTCAATCTCATCATTATAGGACCCAATCATTATAGCAAGCTTTTATTTCAGATGACTTTATCTATTCAAAGGACCCTCTTCCAAACATCATGAATCTCACAGCAAAATCCGATAACCCACTGAATTTATTACTACATACTGCCTACCATCACGACTCATCGCAGGTAACATAGAAACTTTTATCCCCAATTCAATAATCTATTGATTCCATTTCAGATACATACTATCTAATATCGTTCACAACCTTTCTCTTTGATTTCAATCGTATTCCTACCTCTCAACCAATTGATACAGATTATCACATTTATATAAACTGTCAAATAACTCTTCACACCAATTCCGCGATTTCTCCAATAACATATCCCCATCACTCCTCCCATAAATATTCAGAGAAACCAAGCACAGAATATCATTTCGGGATGATTTAAACATATCTCAAAATTGCGCCATGCATACAAAACATCAAATACTTCAACCATTCTCTTGACAATTAATCAAATACCTGAAAATAATCAAAATCATCCACACCAAACTATAATTCTCACTTAATACTTCACCACAGTTCAACAAACAATTTCCCATCAATACCAGATACCGAAATCAAGTCAGCTAAACACATTACTCCGACAAACGACTTTTATTACTTCGGTAACAGTAAAATTTAACTTTGTTTCGAAAATTTTCTCTGTAAAAATTTATCGTTACGAGTACCATCTAAAGAATCTCGTTGCTGAGATGAAATATCGATATCATGGTAGCTTAACACAGCATCCACATCCACACCTACCCACACTCACCCGCACTCACACCCTAATTTTGTGTCTTCTTCATTATTAAAACTGGTGTCATTTCTACAATGAGAAAGCTGATGTAGGATTAATCTTGATCAAAATTAAAATTACAACATTTTATTGATAATAAATTTAGAATATTAAATTATTCCAGATTAAAATTATACTTTCTGCAATCATACTATCCACATAAAACTAAATTATAGTGAAAATCGAAAATTAGCTAATTGAATTCTTGTAATGATATCAGGAATGAAGCTTTTTTTGTTAGGCATATGAACCATTTTCAAACGTATAATGACTACGTCCAATCGAGCAACCGTTTGGCTTCGTCAATAACTTCCATTTCGTCGCCTGTCTCACCATCGAGACTTTCAATGATTTGCTCGATTTCGACACGACGCTTGTGTATCAATTCAAAGTATTTTTGTTTGCGTTCCTCAATGAGCTTTTTGACCTTATTGAGAGTTTCTCGAGTATCCCGTTCAAGCTGCGCCGTTAGTTGATTTCGTTCAGCGTCGTTGGCAGCCCCTAGAAGTTGTGACAGACTAGCCAGACGTTTCATCACGTAACCATCGGATACATCAATGTACGTGCCGGATTGAACAAATATGATTCGGGCATATCGTTGAATGTGGATTGCATCCTCTTTTATCATTTTTATGTGGTATAAACGCTCTCCGAGCGTGTCCTTTGCAGCATCCTTCGAGGTAGCAGCTTTCATTGGTGTAAGGAACTTGTTGAGTGATTCCTTCAGTCCTACATTGGTGCGCAGGGCAAGAGCGTTAAAGAAAAGGACAAGATTATTCCACTCTGCTTGGACGCGACCTAGTAGTCTAATTACTTGTCCCATGAGTTTGATGAGCTCTTCGTAGCTGATTCGCGAGAGATCGAGGGAGGCAATATGTACCATGAGCGCAGTCATATCGTGGTGGTTGTTCATGATAACGTTGAAATGGGCATCTTTGCGCTGTTGTGCGCGTTTAAGATACGCATCGGCTTGCAGATAAACAAATCTCTCGTTCTCGTATCCATCAGCGACAGCAACATCAACAAGTGAGCCCGATGTGGCTTCTGACGGCAGTGTATGTCCACCGTTGAGTTTCTCAGCAGTGACAATTGGTTCGGCCTTTGTAGCTAATTCGTCCAACTCTTCCTGTTGTGGCCCGTCTTTGCCTTTGAACTTGTTAAACACTTCGATGGCACTATCGAGCAACTCGAGTGTTTTCGTCTTTATTTTGGTTTGAGTATTACCAATATTCAGTACCTTACGAGCTTCCTCAACACCCATCCTGAATGTTTGCTTGGCGTCCTCGTTCAGGCTTCTATTCTTCATCATCACCATGACTTCATGTAGCTTCTCAAGAAAGTCTTTTGCCATGCTGAGTGACTGACCATCAGGGATTGCAGTTGCGGGATCCTTTGCATCGGGTCCACTAACAGTTGAAGCACCACTATTTTTCTCAGCAGCAACATTCATACCTATCAAGGGAACGCATTAAAACAAGATCTATCATTACTTGAGGATAGTTTTTCAAAAACACACAACATTAGCTCTGTCTTTATTTAAATTTGCATATATCGTCAAAACATCAATGCCAACAGTCAAGGTAGTCGTAGTAACGTCACCTGGCATGTATGCAAATATCAGTAGTATAGTCAGGCACTGTTGAACTATGGGCCATGTCCTGATAAATTCTTTTGAGGAATGGGCAATGTTGGACAATTTCAAATCTATTGAACTCCAATTTTTTTAAAAGTCTTTTCTCCATCGCAAAAACCGATGCTTATTAGTCTTCGAACACACATATATCAAGATTTTTTTAGCACTGGGCAATTGTTACCGTAACTCAAAATGCATTAGGTAATAACTTTTCAGCTATTAGACTATTTCCTAGTGTGTCATACTCATTTACGCAATTGGAAAATACTTTGTAGTTGTGAACGCTCTCTCTGATGATATACTGAAGAATGCAAGGTACTCTTGACTTGGTCTATAATAATTCAAGTTCATAGGTTCAACTTATTTGCACAAGAGAATTTTTCAATAACCCTTTTGAAAAGATCGGAACTGTTCAAACAGTTTTTTTCCAGGAACTGAATTGTATGAACACAAACGGGGAAAAGATACTCTGGAACTTCAGATACACCGATTCGTCAAACTTTGCCTGGATGTAGAAATGCCGAAGAAAAACGTCGAAAGCAACTCGTCCTCGCACTCTAGAAAAGATGACATATTGAACTTAAAAAAAGATTCGGTGGAGACACGAACTCTTTAAAGATCCTTCAGGTGGATACATGGAAAGAATCTTTTGTACAAGACCTTTTTATGCTCTGCAGAGCAAAGCAAAAAGGTTTGGTACTTAAAATGTCAAATCATCTAGGTTTTGTGCGAAATCTTTAAGGTTTGGTAGATTTTGTATCAAACCGTAAAGGTTTAGCTTCAATTCTGAAAGGTTTTGTACCAAATCATAAAGATTTCGCGCTTTTAGTACTAAACCTGTTTTTATTTTACGAAATCTTAATGGTCTCGTAACAAACGTTGTTTCTATCTATTTATGGGAAGAACCTTTAATGAATTTGATACGGCATCATTTTTTATAGTCACTCTCGGCTATGTAGAATGTAGATATACAGCTACTTCCAATTGTTAGTTACGATCTTTCTACCAGTTTTTTGATATTTTTACTTGTGACCAAAGTGAAAGCAATCGATGCTAGGATTCTCTGGTTTACTCTAGTAATACTCCAGTCGTGCTTTGAACGGGATTTGAAATATGGTTCCACCCTTGGTTTACACTATTTGGTTCCTTTAAAGAAACTACTCAACAGTTTCTAAGATAGGTACTTGAATAAAACTGTTAAGGTACCAGCAAAGCAAAATTGCAGCAGATTTTTCTTCATGTTCTAATATAGTTTTCCAAGTAGAGTTTGATACCCTCATTAATAATATCACCAAGAAAGTGTTTTTTGAGCGATGCTTACCGAAACTTTTTGTTTCTTGTACAAAACTCAAAATATTGTTTTTCTTTCAACCAAATTTTCTGAGTTTATGAAAAACCGAGAACTCTGTAGAGGTTAGCTTAGTTTTGACGAAGCAAAAAAAATATTTTTTCAGATTCACCATGAAAAAGCTGTTAGCGCAATCCCTTCCGAGATTAAAAATGTGAAACACGATGGATCTGTTGTTACGAATTAAATGGAAATCGTTTTGTTACATTTTTTTCCAATACATTTATAGCTAACCGTTTATCTGATGCTTTAGAACTACAGTTTCTCTGTCACGGTCTGTGATGGGTCCAAACTCTGTCTGTCACGGTCTGTGATGGATCTAGAGCATGCCTGTCACGGTCTGTGATGGGTCTAAAGCATGTATGTCACGGTCTGTGATGGGTCTAAAGCATGTATGCCAAGTCTGTGATGGGTCTAAAGCCTGTGTGTTATGGTCTGTGATGGGTCTAAAGCCTGTCTGTCACGGTCTGTGATGGGTCTAAAGCCTGTCTGTCATGGTCTGTGATGGGTCTAAAGCATGTATGTCACGGTCTGTGATGGGTCTAAAGCCTGTCTGTTACTGTCTGTGATGGGTCTAAAGCCTGTCTGTCACGGTCTGTGATGGGTCCAAACCCTGTCTGTCACGGTCTGTGATGGATCTAAAGCCTGTCTATCACGGTCTGTGATGGGTCTAAAGCCTGTCTCTCACAGTCTGTGATAGGTCTAAAGCATTTATGTCACGGTCTGTGATGGGTCTAAAGCCTGTCTGTCACGGTCTGTGATGGGTCTAAAGCATGTATGTCACGGTCTGTGATGGGTCTAAAGCCTGTCTGTGATGGGTCCAAACCCTGTCTGTCACGGTCTGTGACGGTTAA